GACTGGTTCTGTCTCATGAGTGATCAGAGCAAAAACTTGTTTATTGAGAGCAGTGGCAGGAATGGGAGGTTGCAGTGGAATGAATGGGACAGCTAGTTGTTTGGCTACTTCTATGTGCATTAAGTTTACTTGGCACTGAAATCTATAAGACTGTGAAGGGAATGAGTGACCTGATTAAAACAAAGCAAGACTGGTAGTGTTAGATGGGGCTTAGACTTAGTGAAGGAGCCACCCATCCATATCACTGAAATTACTTGCAGGTGGGATCTAGTATCACAACAGAATGGCAAAAAAAAGCTCAAGTGGCAGAGATGTGGCAGGAGGAAAAAATGGAGCAGACCCTTTGGAAGCGGAAGCAAAAGTAACGTATTACACATTACTTTAAAAAAAATGTAATTAAAGTAGTTAGACTGCTCGTTACAAGACTTTCTCATTACTCCGTGAAAGGTCACATAAATGTCTCATAATGACATAGTCAGTTTACAGCTTAAACCCGAGGCTCCAGTCCCACACACCAACACAAACCCCTACCCTAACGAGGACAGACATAACATCTGTCTTTTAGGCTTATGTTTCATCAAAAAGGTAACAACAGAAAGAAAAGGTAAAAAACAGCCCAAAGAGAGTGGTCCAATTTTAGAAACATGAACTGATAAAAACAGAGACTTCAAGCTGGACTGCTCATCACTGCTTTTGTTACCTGTTGAAGATCAGGCTCTGGCTGCTGGGCTGGGGTCAGCATGCACTCAGCATTAATATCAATCTGGCTTCTTGGCTGTCTTTGTGTTTGCATGCTGTCTGTGCAGATGCATGCAAAGAGCCGAAGTTTTGTAAGCAATATGATGTGATTGTTTATGTCCTTAATGCAGTTTCCACTTTACCATCATGGTTTCATCCTTTTGAGCAAAAAAACATAAAATTAATGTCCATAGCTCCACTGATCACAACCTGTATTGCTGTACCACTCCCCCATGGCCCTCCTCCTGCACAGAAACTGAAACCAAATCAAAAAAATGATTTGTTTCTTTCTTTTCTTTCTTTCCGCCATGTGCACAGATAAGTGAAGAAACTTGTAACACAAGTAACAACATATTTATATAATTCTTGAATTTGGTACAGTGACTTGTTACATTACGTTCTTCATACTGTTACATAGAATATAGTCATGTTCCCATACCCAACCTTTTCATCATCATCAAGTAACATAGAATATAAAACATAGATCCTAGACTGTTAAGGTGCCTTGGTTTAATCAGAGCACAGATAATAGGTTTATTATATTAATGTGAAATAAGAATAATCCGGTAAACTACAGCTTATGGGCAGCATATTCTAGTGTATTGAAAGACAGAGTAAAAGTGGCTTTAGGGAAAACTGGGAGATCGGATACCTGTAACTGTAACTGTGAGTCTCTAACAAAGAAAGTACTTTAAAAAAAAAAAAATCACCGAGCACATTTGTAATTAATATACCAACACAAAAAGCAGCCAAACTAAATGTGCAGAGGGGCTTTATTTGTTACAATCACAGGGAAAATGAGACAAGTAAACTCAATACAGTAACATAGCTAAATGGCAATATGAGTGAAATGCTAGTGGGGAAAATGTCAGAATAAAATAAATAAATGAATAGATAAGCTGTAGAGGTGATTTTTATAGAGCATAAATAGAGAGAAACCATACTCTACACCGATTTTCAACTTTAATTCAAAGGGTTTAACAAACATTTTACATTAACTGTTTAAGAATTACAACCATCTAACCTCATCGAGAATAGTCTTGAGAAGGTAAGTGTTTCATTCTCAGTGTCTACAATCAAGGCAGACCTTCGTGAATACGAATACAAAGGATTTACAAGAAGATGCATACCTCTGGTTACACTCAAGAACAAGAGGGGCAGACTTTACCAGAAGACATTTAAAAAAAACTTGCACAGTTCTGGAAAAAATAAGTTATTTTAAAAATGACCCAAGATTAACTTGTACCAGAATGATGGGGAAAGAAAAATATGGAAGTGGAAAGGTTAGGAAAAGCATTATTATGCCATGGACATGGCTGCCAATTGCACCGAGTAACTAGTGTTTATTGATTGAAGTAGACTGCTTATAAAAGTAGTATTATGAAGTGTACTGAAGTACTCTGAAGGGTACAGGGCTATACTTGCTGCTGGGTACAACTAAATGCTTAAAAACTGATCAGACAACACACACATAATGAGCCAAAGGAAACTGCAAAAGAGTTTCTCAAGACAAAGAAATGGGATATACTTCACTGAGCAAGTCAGTCACTTGATCCGGACCCAGTAGAGCATGCTTTTCAGTTGTTAAATATAAAACTGAAGTCAAAAAGAACCACAAACAAGTAGCAACTGGCAGCTTCAGTAAAGACCTGGCAGAACATCTCAAAGGAGGAAACACAGCATTTTGGGTGTATCCATGAGTTCTAGGATTCGGGCAGTCATTGATTGCAAATGATTTTCATCCAAGTATTAAAACAAATCTTGGTTTGTCGATTTACTTTTGCACATCTAAAAATGGGGGACTAAATATATGTACATATGAAAATGGTTTTAATTCCTTAACAGTTAATGTAATACTTTTGTTAAACGTCTGGAATCAAAGCTGAAAATCTGCATCTTGATTGTTTAATTTAAAATTCATCATGGTGGTGTACAGAGGTAAAATTAAAAATAAAAATAGCATCTTTATCCAACAATCTTTGGACCTAACTTTGGATTACTATAGTATAATGTAGAATAACGTGGCATGTTTTATAGTGTCATATCATATTATATTGCAATATACCATATGATATAGTGATATTGTTCTCTCCCAAACTTCTTTAGTTCACCTTATTATTTGTTTAAAATGTATTTATTTAGTTGATTTTGTGGAATTAGGGCATTTTTTTTATTAAGTTCTCATAACTGTTTAAAAGACAATTAAATAAATAATAGAATCTGTTTTTTATCTTTTAGATTCAATCATTATAATCTCGGCTTTGATCCTGTTAAGTGTAATTGTGATTTTTGCCATCAAGCAGCCATAAAATGTAGTATAGTATAGTCTTGTACTGTGGTAGCACATTGTAATATAAAATGTAACAATATAGTAGACAAAGAATCCTCAGTATATAAAATGATAAAGTAATAAACTGTTTCGGGAAATAATAAGATACATGATTGGAACAGTCAAGAAACTGAGTAAAGTAGATAATGTTGATATTATAAAATGCAACTTAACCCTGTTTTAATGTTCATCCTCTCTACTTATATTCTACATCCACATCATCTAATATTTTTCTTATTTGTTATTACATGTTAGTACATGTTATATTTATAAATTACATCCCATTACACTATTTCACTTTATTGTACTACCCCGCTACATTCGCCTCTGCTTGTTCTTCCACCTTCCATTGCTTTCTGTTTTAGTGCGGACTCCAAAGTCTCCTATTTGTCTGCACTGAGATTTAAAAAGATCATATTTAGTGAAATCCAGCTTGCCTTCTCCTACGTGCATTTTGAATGAGGCTAGTAGTGATATTTGCGTATAACAGAAGCACCTCCTCCCTCCCATTGGACAATGTGTACGTGAGGGCGTGGCAAGGAAAGATGAGAGTTGCAAATCCATGCCCTTACTGGGAAGACATGGAGCGCTATGGACACAGTCTACACGAATCTGATAGGAATCTCAACTAAAGGCATCACTATTTCTCCAGTTTGGAAACAAACGATTTGAGAGACCGAGAGCAAAGAAAGGGTGGCCCGACTGAGGATGGAGTGTGCATTTGAAGCACAGAATCTGATCTCCATTTCTTTGAGGAAAATCCAAAGCTCCAGGACGCAGAGAGGAGGCATCAAGCTCCACAAGAACTTACTGGTAACGTACGTACTGAGAAACGCCAGGCAGTTCTACATGAGCAAAAACTTGTCGCAGATGCAGAGGACGAATCCGTACGAGGATGTAACCGTAGTCCGAGAAAGGCAAGAATACCTCGAATGGACGGGGAGCTTCACGGAGTTGGCTGATGACTTCTACTGCAACTTTACTGGGGTTGAGTCGGACACTTGGCACTGCGGAGCGCACCAGCCCAACGGTCAGCCTGCAGAGGTGGCGCACCAAGGCGCATCTGCCTGCGCAATAGATTCACCGAGTGACTCTGACCTCATGGTTTCGGACGCCTGTTGGAGCTGTGCGGACAAATCCTCCTGGGAGTTATCTATCCCGAACACGCAAGCCAACCAAAAGACTGTCCTGGACTTGGACACCCATGTGGTGACTACTGTCACGAACGGATACTTCCACACAGACTGTTGCGCGCAGCCCAAACAGCCGCAGGGCGCGCAGTGCTACACAAAAAAGCGAAAGATTGACATAAGTTATCATATCGTTGATCCAGAGTTTTATTTGCCAGACTTTGCGCCAGTGCCGTGTAAAAGAATGAGGAGTGATGATGATTCACATTCAGACTCTGACCAGTTGGACAGCACAAACATCTCCAACCTGATCTCGGTGCTGGGCTCAGGTGGGCTATCTGAGTTTGTGAGTTGGCAGCAAACGGACCTTGAGCAAATATTCGCCAGTCAAACAATTTGTTTAAAACACACGCTGTTAACAGGCAGCGGCTGGACCAGAGCAATCGAAGCATTTTGATATGTATGACTGTGTGTTTTTAATTTCTTTGTATCGTTTTATTTTGCTGCTTTTAAATAAATCATGACACGACTGCAGTTCTCTCTTGGACTTTTTATACAAAAACAGTGCTGAAATTATACAGAATGGTCATATGCATTTCCATTACTTTTTGCACATTGACATTTCCTGTGCTAGTGCGAATAATTTCTACACAGCATGACTAAACTGTAACCTTTATTTAAATATTATTTTGTGGTGGTGATTTTTTTTAAATTATTTTTTTCTGCGGGAAAACCGGAGTCACTGGTTTGTATTTCCTGGAGAAATAAGTGAATGCTGTTTTCTCCTTGGAAAGATGTTGGACGACTACCACCATGTGGCCAGAGAAGATCTGTGCAGCTTTGTGCAACAGTTCAACGAGAATTCTTATTCTTATTATGTAAATATATATTTATATCAGGGCCTGCTTTGATTAATCAATAAAACAAACAGTCTAAAAACACAAATGCATTGACTTCAAATTACTTGGAAAGAGGGCGCAGCGGTCAACTTAGAAATACAGACAGATTTTGTGTTTTTGTTCTTCTTCTTATTATTATTATTACAGTTATTATTATTAGTAGTAGTAAATGTGCCATCATTTCACTGAACTTGGAGGTTTTAATATGCAATTTCTGAACACAATAACCAGAAGTAGTAAAAGACAAATGCTTATTAGCAGCTCTTGTGGAACATTTGAATCCATTTTTCCTAAAATGAATAAAACAATGAGCTGAGGAAGCTTTCATGCGGGTAGAGGTTTAGTGTAATTATTTGTTTTGAAACAGCAGTCTCACGTGTGCCAAACTCCACCTAGAAAAACACGACTTTTCAAGGAGAGAGAGCGCTTGTTTTGTTTGCTGTATCCGACGGGGGGCGGACAGCTGAGCGCAGAGTGCTTGTCCTTGAGACATGACTGCCCGAGGGTTTCCCCATCTATATTCCCGGGACAGTCCAAGTTTTTAGCGCGTCCGTCTGACAAGATGCTGGGTGTTTTTGTCAGAGCCGCGGTGAGTCCTCCTTTTTCCCCCTTTGCGTGTGTTTTAAGTGCGTGTTAAAAAAGCGCAGTAACGTTACGTTTGCTTTTGCGACATCAGGTCAAGTGAGTGAGTGAAGAGGGAGGGGCGCTGTGCAGAATAGCAACAATGTGGCAACAGTAGGTTAAAATGTAACTTAGGTTCACCCAACGTGTGCATTTAAATTGTGCGTTAAGGAATATAACGGAGTATTTTTCTTTTTTTCGGGGAGGGGGTTAGCTAACATTTTGTATAGCGTTAGCTTAGCGTAGCATAGAGTAACTTAGCGTTAGCTTAGTTCGTGACATGGGAAACAGCAATGTGACTCGGAGTCATCCCCCAGTATTATCCACATTCTTGCATCTTTTCTGTCGTGGCGTGCAATAAATACACAAAATATTTAGCAATAACTTTATGTTGATATCGCTAACCGGAAGTTAATTGTTGTGTTCCAGCTTGACATAAATATCCCTACATTTTTTCTAACCGTTACGTATTTAATTCAACCTTATTTGGAGTAATATTAAATCAAATGGGATATCATATGAATGTATCTTCTTATTTTTTGTCAATAAATCGTATAACGACTTTATATTGATGTGTTTTTGTTGTAGCTCCCATCCGAAGGTTCAACTGTGTCAACCTATTTATAAGCTGGCAGAGACTAACACCAGTTAGTCCGAATAGTATAGCTGCTTCTGTCGGTTGTTTTGGTGTCCGTTTTCATGCACCAAATCATCATCTCACTGTAAAGCACGAGCCTGTCTAAGTTATTTACCGTTGTTCGCAACGCCCGAAGCTAGTTCTTGCTTAAACCAGTTTGCAGCGACTCATTAATGTCTGCAGTCTTAGATTGCATGCACTAAACAACATGTTGACACTTGAGGTTAAAGAGATTCAATTAATCTGCAGGGTTAACGAGCCCCAGTGAGATTGTCAATAAGATTACATTTCAGTATTCACACTCATGTATGAATGTACTGGGCTATTTATATATTTAACTGTCTGTTGGGCTTCAAATAGCAATGACACCTTCAACTTTCTAGACTTTCTAAATCCATTTGTAATACTCCAATTTAATGTGTAATAGCAGAAAAAACAGAAGAGTTTTTAACTTAACAAGATATTATCTTATAGATGCGGCCAGGTATGGTGAAGCCATGTCACCTAGTCAGACCCGTAACGCAGATCCTTGCAAGGCCCCTGACACACCAAGAGGGTCTGCCTAAGCTACCTGTGCCACCCTTGAATCAAACGTGTGAGCGCTACCTCGCAGCTTTGGAACCCCTCGTCAGTGATGAAGAGATGGATCACACCAGGAAGGTGGTACAGGAGTTCCTTAAGGGTGGTGTAGGAGAAAGGCTTCAAAAGGGACTGGAAAGGCGGGCACGCAAGACGGACAACTGGGTAGATAAATGGATTTATTTAACTTTATGTGTCAGCGTAGACATGATGAGTGTAAAAGCAGTCTTTTGACAGAAGAATCTGTCTTTTGTAATTACATACACTAAATACATGTTTAATTTGGCTGTTTAAGAAATTAAAGTAATTCTTTTTTCGCCCTGGTCTGACTACAGCTGTGTTTGTGTAGTTAACAGAATGGTGGATGCAGTCGGCCTACCTGGATTGCCGTATGCCGGTGGCAGTTTATACCAGCCCTGGAGTAGTCCTGCCCCAGATGCACTTTCATGATCGTCAAGGTCAAATGAGGTGAGAAACCAGCATGCCCTTACAGTATCCAAACTGCTTATCTTAATAATCACAGGCCCACAAACACTAAAAAAAACCCCAGCACTTGTAATGCGTTCAGTAAATTTTCGGGGCTCCAGCAGTACCAGTTATAAAGTTTAATTGTCTGAATATAAGTGCAGCCATTAAGCTGTTTTAAAAAGTGATTTAATTTGTGTTGAAGTTACAGTACAAGCTCATTTTAAGCTGACCTTTGCACAGTCTTCCCTCCACATGCTGGCTATTTAAAGCCCCAGGGCTTCTCATACCATTGCTCAGCTGTTTTTGAATGCTGTGACCCATGGGATATGCAGTGAACATAGGGGCACCATGGAGATGTAATGCAAAAATAACAATGAAGATGATAAGAATATATGTGCCAAACATATGAGACTGTGGTAAACAAGCCAGTGCTTGTTTTTGTTTTGTTTTTACTTTTAGCTTCTAAAATTCTAAAAATTTAACTGCGTTCCTCTCCATTCCTCTCCATAGTTCATGACTGATTTTGTTCCATCTGTGAACACTATATATGAGCGCTAGCTTTTGGAGCATTGATGCAAAACAAAGCATACACTGACCATTATGTGTAGTAATCTATAATCTGACTTGTTATTTATTTATTTTTATTTTTTGCAGGTTTGCTGCCAAATTAATTGCAGGAGTTTTGGACTTTAAAAAAATGATTGACACGTGAGTTTGTCTGAAATCAATACAAACATTGTACTGCTGTAGCAATAAGCTCATTATCACCATGGCCTGCAGCTGTTTTTTGTTTGGGTTTTTTTTTTTTTTTTTTCCAAACTGCAAATGAATAATATTAGTTACTGTGTTGTAGTCAGACTCTGCCTGTAGAGTATTTGAGTGGGAAGCCTCTTTGTATGGACCAGTATTACCAGATCCTGTCTTCTTGTCGTATTCCTGGACCAAAGAGAGATATCGTTGTAAATCACGCCAGTGGAAAAACACCTCCGACTCACATCACTGTGGTCCACAACTTTCAGGTACTCTAGATGGCACTGCTGTTCTTTCTTCATTTATAAAGATCCTGATTTTTTTTTTATAGTCATTATGAAGAAAAGGAGTAATAAACTAAATCTGTTACTGAATCAACCCGGCTTCTCTTCTAGTTTTTTGTCCTAGATGTGTACAACAGTGATGGCACTCCACTAACAGTGGATCAGATGTATATGCAGCTGGAGAAGATCTGGAACTCCTCTTTGCAGACTAACAAAGAACCGATTGGCATCCTCACATCACAGCACCGCAACACTTGGGGAAAAGCCTATAATAACCTGATTAAGGGTGAGGACAAGCCACAGTATCAGCCAGATGTATTCTATAGATAGAAAGCATTTTTTGTTAGAATCTTGTGATTCACAAGTTCCATTTCCCCCTTTTTTTTTTCTTCTCAGATAGGACGAATAAAGACTCAGTTCGTGCCATCCAGAAAAGTATTTTTACAGTTTGTTTGGATGCTCCAATGCTGCGGGTGTCTGATGACTTGTATCTGAGCCGCGTAGCTGCCCAGATTCTGCATGGAGGAGGTGCTCGTTGGAACAGTGGCAACCGCTGGTTTGATAAGACGCTACAGGTCAGTTTAAAAGAGCGCAATGACTCACAGATCCAAAGTAATAAACAGGATTCTGGCAATGGTTGAGAATTTGAATGTACCTGCAAATCGTCCTCAGTTCATTGTTGGTGAAGACGGTGCATGTGGACTGGTGTATGAACATGCACCTGCTGAGGGTCCACCCATTGTGTTTCTCATCGATTACGTTGTTAAATACATGTAAGTTTATTTCAGATTTTAGACTAGTGTTTCTTCGTGTTTATGATGAGCTCACACTGACTTGGCGGGTCACGTTTTTCTCAACAGGCAGAGGACTCAATTCCGTCGCGCTCCCATGATTCCCCTGCCCATGCCCCAGAAGCTGCGTTTTAACATTACACCTGAGGTCAAGAGAGATATTGAGAAGGCCAAACAAAATATGAACATGTATGTCATGCTGTGCAGTCAGAATGTAGTTTTCTTGTTGCTGTTGTCATTTGGGCTTTGATGTCAGACATTTTCTTTGACTCCCTCTTTTCTCATTTTTGTCAGAATGGTACACGACTTGGATGTGAAAGTGCTTGTGTTTTCTCACTTTGGAAAAAATGTGCCAAAGAAGCATAAGCTCAGTCCAGATGCCTTTGTGCAAATGGCTCTTCAGCTGGCGTACTTCAGGTGAGAAGTCCGCTCTCTTGAAAGGGGGGGAAAGGTCCCGTGGGATGCAGACACTGAGTGCACCGCATGATATACTTTTTTTTTTTTTTTTTTCTCTCAATCCAGGATCTATAATATTTGCTGCTCTACCTATGAGAGTGCTTCCTTAAGAATGTTCAAATATGGGCGAACAGATGCAATCCGGTCAACTACTGCAGACTCACTTGAATTTGTCCAGGCAATGCAAGATCCAGCTAAACAGGT